TGACAATTTGTTCAATAAATTCGCTAAGACAAAGTAAAATTGTTGGTCTCCATTTGAATTTGTGGTATGGTATGGCAATAATGTGACACTTTGTCTGTTTGATACCAGGCTTAAGTCAAATTGTTGCGGGTTTCCATTCGCGTTTGGTGTTTACTGATTGATGATGTGACATGAGTTTTATTTTGGGGAGAATTTTTAGTCCTCAGTTGCATTTTGTGTGTTTGTGTTCACTGATTGATGACGTGACACAAATTACGTTTTAGGGAGAATGCTTGGTTCCCATTTGAATTTTGTGTGCTTGTGTTTGAACTGACTGATGACGTGACACAAACTTTGTTTTGAGGAGAATGTTTTGCTCCCATTTCTAATTCGTGGTTCGGTGTTCACTTATTGATGATGTGACACTGTCTTTGTTGGGATGCCCTAATAAAGCAACTTTGTTGCTGGCTCCCATTTGTGTTGCCGCAAAGTGTTCACTTACTGATGATGTGTTCACAGCGTTTTGTTTTGTTTTCAGACCCTATAGGTATCAAATAATGTTTTGTTTTGGTCAGTGGTTCATAAAGCTATTTTTGCTTACAGTTTCATCATGTGAGAGGTTTGGCGTGTAAGTTATAAGGAGGTTAGCTCTACTGGTGGCGCAGACTACGCAGCTAATGCGTAGTCTAGTGGTGGATATTCAGCTTACAAGTAGTGCTCACCTGGACTTTTCAATTAAATTTATTCAAACGCGTTAAAGAACATGATCATTAATTTCATATCCGGTTGTTCCCAGGGTTCACCTTGGAACTGTTTCCGTTTTTATATTTGCAGTAATTATGAGTGCAGCCAATAAACCATTATAAAAACTTAAAATATGTGTCAGTTTTCTTCGTATGTTGATTTTGATATTGCGCACTAGTATGCATGTTTTGTCTTTGATAATAGGATTTAACTCATTTAAGTTAAATCGATGTATCAACGCTAAACAGCATTAATGTCACTTTCGGGGTTTTAGCCAACCTTAGCTCATCAGCAGGGATAAGCGTGAAATGTGACTTCACGGCCACCCTGCAGTCTCCCTGCATTGTTGCAACCACTATTGAAATAACGACCACTATTGAAATAATTATATCAGTAGTGGTTGAGAGTGCATTTCAATAACGAATAGACTCGGAGGTAATAACCACTATGGAAATGCAACCACTATTGAAATAATTATTTCAATAGTGGTTGAGAGTGCTTTCAATAACAAGCATAGGTAATAAACACTATTGAAATACGACCACTATTGAGATAGTAGGTGAGAGTGCATTTCAATAACAAGCAAAGTTTATAAACCCTATTGAAATACGATCACTATTGAAATAGTAGGTGAGAGTGCATTTCAATAACAAACATAGATAGTAACCACTATTTAAATACGACTGCAATTGAAATAGTTATTACAATAGTTGGTGAGATTCATTTCAATAACAAAAATAGGTTGCAACCTCTATTGAAATAATGTTCTCTTTTGAAATGAAGATTTCAATATGGATTAAATTATTGATTTCAATAGTGCAGTAATTGAACAATGAATCCAATATATATTGAAAAAATTATTTCAAAAGTTTCTGACGAGGTGAAACTTTTCTTTCAATACTGGTAGTATTTCAATAGTGTTTGAAACCTATAGTTATTATATTGAAATGCACTCTTACCCACTTTTAAAATAACTAGAAAACTGACCAGTCAGCAAGGGCCCCGCTGAGGGGTAGAAATATAAGGATGTAGCTCATTACTTGATTACATTTCTTTTTAAATATATGAAGATAATAAGTAAAAACTGTATTTTTAGATTTTCAAGATAATTCCTGAATGTCCAAAAAACCTGTAAATAGTAACCATGTATTTAAATAAAACCTCATTTTAATAAAAAAAAAAACTAAATTAAATATGTTTTTAAAAAAATATAAAATAAATTAATGAATAATTAAAGAAATAAAATAGTAATAAAAATAAATGATATCTTAATATATATCTTAATTTTAGAATTCAATAAAATTATCATAAATCGTTGTGTACAGTATTTTGACCAAAATAAAGTATGAGCATTATTTCAAATCAATTTTTCAGAGAATGTACACTTCATTTATAATTGACCGTAACTTCAAAACAAAGTTCATTTGCAGACAGAGGCGTTACAATTATTAATCTCATTGTGACAGATAAAGATAATGCTTAGGATTTTCTTCATGTGGGAGGTTAATTAATCCCAAAGGACAAATTGCACAGCCTTCCCAGTTTACAATGGTAACATTCTCAGCAGTTATCTCTCTTTACCCATTCATTCTTATGCATAGTTAAGGAATCTACCCCACCACCCCAGCTCCAAACCAAAAGACATAGAGAACCAAACTTAGCATCAAAATATATATTTCTCCCTTCTGAACTACCATACCAAATTTAAACTTGATTGAGCAACCATAAAAAAGTTTTTAGAAAGAAACAGAAAATTTGTGGACGGAAGAGTGACAGACGGACAGAGAGACGGACGGACAGACAGTGATTACTATAGGGCACCCGCAAATCCTTGCGGGGCCCTAATTATTTCAATAGTGGTCGTATTTCAATAGTGGTTATTACCTATGTTTGTTATTAAAATACACTCTCAACCACTGTTGATATAATTATTTCAATAGAGGTTATTAACTATGTTTGCTATTGAAATGCACTCTCAACCACTATTGATATAATTATTTCAATAGTGGTCGTATTTCAATATTGGTTACTAACTATGTTTGCTATTGAAATGCACTGTCAACCACTATTGATATAATTAACTACATGTAGTGATGAAGTGTCTAACACATAACCGACACTACCTATGTTTGTAAACAAAGCAAGAAACACCTTGTACAGATGGTCGAAGTAAATCAAATATTAATCTGAAAGGGAAGAAATGAGCTGTACCAGCTGATAAAAATATTTTGTTATGTAAATGTTATTACTTCATGTGAAAACAATAAAAGAACCACTGTCTTCCACAATTTAGATCTGTATCACAGCAATATTTATATACAGTAAGTCAGTAAAGGTCACTTAACATGCCTGTGATTCTTATTCCATTAATTGTCGATGCTACTCTGGAGAGAGAGTTCCTTTACTATATCCACCTGTGTCTTACTATCAGATGCTGATAGACAGTAAAAAATAATAACCCCCCCCCCCCCCCCAAAAAAAAACCCCGAAAAAGATTAAATCGGGTGTTATTCATAAATAATATGTGAAATGTTTTCATAAATGTGAATCAAGAGACTGAAAAATCAAATATACATGTTTATTCAAAAGTAGAAAGATTATGTAAACGATTAATATACCATGCCATTGTGATAAATTTTTAGTCTTCGGTCAAAAAGCCAAAAGAAATTGAAATATTAATCGTGCATAAATTTATCCATGAACGTCATGTAAATGAATTACAAAAGCTAAATTGAAAGAAATGTAATATTACATGTACGGTGTACATATCAATTGAAGTTAGATATATTTCAAGAGTGAGTAAACCAAACGAAAAAACATAAAATTAAAATGCTCATTTCAATTAAAAGTCAAAATGAGTTGAATTTCAAGAGCAGCTAAATCTGGAGAATTGGAGTATTTATTTTGCATAATTCAAGGAGTTAAATTTCAAGAGTGGATAAATGAAGAAAATATCAAATATACATTCAAATTTTGAAAGACGTGGAGCTGAATTTCAATAACCATAGTAAGCAAATCAAGGATTTTGAATTTTGTAATATGCATATCAATGAAAATAGAGGATTTGAAATTTAAGAGTGGATTAATCACTAAAAATGAAACATATTGACGTGCACTGAAATTGTCAAATTATTTGTCAATTTATGAAAAAAGTAAAATATTTGATGTTCATATAAGGAGACGACCGTTTGATCCTGAGGGGGGGGGGGGGCTGGCAATTTTTTTTTGAGACGGATTATTTATTTTCATGCCTGTCGAGGACAGATTATTTATTTTCAAGATTATTAAGGACAGATTATTTATTTTCTTCTTCGTCTTACGGTATCTTGATCAATTGATTCTAAAGGACTAATCATTTATACGCCACTGGGTGAAAAAAGTGGTTTCCCATCATGGGAAACTTTATGGAAACCACATGGAAACCTCAAGTTTACATCATGTTTCCCAGTGGTTTCCGTAGCGGATGCTAGGTTATTCCGCCAAGTTTCCGTGACACGGAAACCCCCTACGCTCCGATTCCATAAGGTATCCCGAACCACGGAAACCTCTGTAAACCTGAAGTTTCCCGAACATCCATGTAGTTTCCCGTAATGGGAAACCTGAAGATTCCACTGGTTTCCAGAATCAGGAAACTTGATGGAATCGGAGCGTAGAGGGTTTCCATGGAATGGAAACTTGGTGGAATCTTTAGGTTTCCTTTTACGGGAAACTACATGGAAGCTCAGGAAACCTCACGATTCCTAAAGTTTCCATGACTCAGGAAACCATATGGAATCGGAGCGTAGTGGTTTCCGTGGAATGGAAACTTGATGGAATCTTTAGGTTTCCTTATACGGGAAACTACATGGAAGCTCGGGAAACCTCATGATTCCTAAAGCTTTCTCGACTCAGGAAACCATATGGAATATGAGCGTAGTGGTTTCCGTTGAATGGAAACTTGATGGAATCTTAAGGTTTTCTTTGATGGGAAACTACATGGAAGCTCGTGAAACCTTATGATTCCTGCAGTTTCCTTGACTCAGGAAACAATATGGAACTTGTGTAACACTTTCTGTGTGGCGGAAACTTGGTGGAATTATCTGGAGTCCCATTCCTGGTGGAAATTACTGGGACACTTCAAGATTCCCTAATTTTTCTAAAGGAAGCAATGTGAAATAATGTGTATTCTTTTAAAAATCTATCAAAAAAATTTATTACATGTAAAAGAAAAAAGCATTTCCATTTTATATGTTTAATAATTCATTTGATGTACAAAAACTGTAACTGATTTTTTCAATGATATCAAAATATTAAATAAATTCATATATCTTAGATAAACAATGGAACAGTCTTTCACATTTAAGTCCATTCATAAGGGTCATTAAGTACTTCTTTCAACATCAGTTTCCTGGTTTTCTTCACATCACCTTTGATCTGCAATATTCATACAAAATTATTATATGATGTCAAAATTATAATGCTTGAATATAACTTAGAAATCTGAAAGATCAGTCAATGTCCTTTAATATACCAATATCAATATTTACTTTCCATGACCATGATACATATGATTTCAGCATTTAATGTATCTCTTTAATATTAAATGCTTTATGATAAGTGAAACAAAAATAACATAAGGCCAAGCTTAAAAAATTCTTTGTTTGCAGTGCCGACCTATAATTTTTAGTCTGAGTAGGTAGGTAGGCAATTTTTTTTTTTTTTTTGAAAAAAAAATATTTCCAGATCTTTGTTAGATAACATAAAATAAAGTTTTTCATAGGCCTACTTTACATGAATAAGCTGCACTCTTGGTATGATTGATAAAGAAAAAAATTGAAAATGAAACAGTTTTAATATCCTGAAAAATTGGAGAGAAAAAAAATATTACAAAATGGCTAAAAAAAGTTTGGGTCAGGTGCATTTTCAGTGGGTCGGTCGGCAACTGCAAACAAACAATATTGTATTTTAGGCCTAATATAAATAATGTTTTCAGCCTTATTATGTCATTGAGAATATATTACTACATGTATCTCATACTAAGAACCCTGCTTTAAGTTTGATTAGTTTGAGAGAAAACATACTCTTTATAATAACAAAAATATTTGGGAGAGATTTTTTTTTATTTTGATATTCGACCTAGAAATTGGTTGAAAATCATTGCAGACCCTCCACCCAATTGCACAAAAGCTAGATTACACCAGGCAGGGGAGAAATATACTCTGGACTACGATTTTAAATAAAGATATACAGTAGATTTTGATACTGACCTTTGACCTAGAAAATTGGTCTAAGGTCACTCTTCATCCACTATCCACAGGCTCTCTGTAGTTTAAGTTTGAGAGAGAAATATGCTCAGAACAAGTGATATCAGATGGAGTGATGGGTAGACACTGTCTTAGGGCATCCACAGAACAGGACCTAAAAATAATGCAATATATATGTATTACAGTATAGATACACATGTACTTGACTGTATGTTAATGACTTATCATATGCTGCATTGGACACATATGATTTTATCATGGTTTAAGTATACATGCATCTTATGAGTAATTTTATACCGGTATTGCATGTACGCTCAGTTTATTTAAGAAATAAATAACAAGTTTATAAACTTCAATGGGAGAGATACCACAAATGTATATGTAAACAAGTAATTAAATTTTTTTTTTACATATATTGACCAACATTATTTACATCCATTCATCATGTTCATAAATTGGCTGGTCAAAATTCAGTCAGTTTTAGATCTTTATGATATACCATAAACTTTGATAAAGTATTTTCACATTTACAAAAGTTATTCCCCTTCGCAGGGTCAATCTGGGGTCAACCGGCTTAAAACGCTGTTTTCCCTCTTTAACAGTATCAACTTTGAGGGACAATATCTTAGAAATAAAATCAGTATGAACATATTCATTATGATTTTCATGTTGCCCCCATACTCTGCCAATACAGATACAGATTGTAATTGTCCAATATTTTTGAAGATTGAAAATATTAACAAGTAACTTACAAAGGACAAAGTGGGAAAAATGAGCGATACGCCAACAATTGGAGAAAACTCTTAGGAATGTGAAATTCGTCTATTGGTGATGACAATTCCTGTTTTAATGTCACTCAAAAATTAAGAGACATTAAAAATTTAAGCCCTATTGTCATACACGCATGCTGTTTTTTCATCCATATAACCTTTTAGTATCATAAAATTTACCAAAATATAATACTTCAAATAATTTCATTGAATATCTTTAAAATAAAGGAAACTCTAAAAACTTAGTGACTTTCAGAAATTATTCCTTGGATAGAAAAAAATCTATCATATTTCATATAAATATGTGCATAATGAGCCTTTTTTATTCATTTAGAACATATGGTATGTGCCTCATTTCCCCAAGAAATTTTCAAAGACAATGGACTATCTGTAAGCAGAAATCATTGCTGTTTACTTACATTGGAAAAATTTATGAAAATAATTAATTTCCTATTTTTTTTATTTTAAATAATTCTTAAAATAATTTAATCTATTAAAAATAATCTAACTGACTGTAAAATAACATTTTTCATAATCTTAATCTATGGGCAGATCACTCTAACTTCATAAAACTAACTGATGTTAAAGTAGAACTCTTTAGTGTGCAGTTTTAGAGCTTCCTTTAAGTAATCAAAATACTGACCAGCAAGAAATCAGTTAATAAGCATTTCCTTTTTTTCATTCAAATTTTTGGAGAGATCTCAGAGTTTTTTCCTGTTCAATTCAGGTTCGAGACGACAAAGTTTTATTGAAGTGTATGTATTAGAGAACTGATTGTATGTCAATCATAGCAATACACACATAACATGGAGGGGGCAAATTGTTTCAGCCCTAGCTTTTACATAAAACTTCTTGTAGCTCACAGCTAATATACCACAGTTCAGTATTTAAATAAAATTTAGAATCTTTTTTTTTTTTTCAGGCAATTGTCATATACATACGAATCATGAATGAATTACCACTTACCAAATGACCACATCCTGAATCATCATACATTTTCTATGATTTTATCTCACTGGTTGTCTTTTAAAGTCACACAGTTTTCTTCTCTCTGAAATGATAAATTATGTCCAGGTACTATTGCATTCTAATTTCAACTAATTATGAAATAGCATTAGCAACAACCGGGATGGAAGAAAAAATTACCAGAAGTCTCTGTCGAGACTGTAGCTCTACTGGTTTGTACTTATCAACAAGAGGCCCATGGGCCACATCGCTCACCTGAGAAGCTTTGACCATTCTGTTCTTTACCAGATTTCATCCTTGTTATACATAATGCATCTCCACCCTACCCCACTGATCATAATTTAGACATTTTGAAATCTACACTACCCCATGATTCTTCCATGGGCACATATGTTTCAGCTTTTTTTTGGCCCAGTGGTTCCTGAGAAGAAGATTTTCAAAGATTTTTCCTATACAGGATTTGGGAAATAGGTCTGGGGTCGCTGTAAAGCCCCCGATGGGTCCTGGGTCACGCAAAGGGAGTAACACCCCCCCCCCCTTGAAGCTCTTGCGTTGTTGTGTATTATAAGAGTAAAACCAGGCACTATTATCATAGTGGCATTGATTATTATGAACCAAAGTATGACATAATTAATACTGGTCAAATCATACTTTGAATGAAGGGCGTTCAGGCGGCGAAGCCCCCTGAAGCTCGTGGGTTTTTTTGTATTTAAAAGAGTAAAAATAGACACAATTGTGTAGGAATTGGTTAGTTATGTGCCAAATCATGACATTATTAATACTAGTCATATCATAATTTGTATGAAAAGGGCCTAGGGACCCGGCAAAGCCACCTGAAGCTCTTGGGTTTTTGTTTATTCTAGATCTAAGAGAAAAACTAGGCATAAACATATTGGTATTGTACCAAAGTATGGCATTATTATTCGTATCATACTTTGAAATTTTAGGGGGGGGGGGGTCGTACACATGCACGTCCCCCTTAAATCCACCAATGTATATTTTGTATTAATTTACCGTGGAAGTATAATTCTTTGACAAGAAAATTCGTCTTTTGCGGTGTATAAGAATTGGCTTGTATTTAAAGTGATTCATCACACCTACTAAGTGCACATTGTCATGTTGATAAACTGACTACAAGTATCAAGTCTGGTAATCTGATTTAAAATACTATTTGGTTCTAAAATGGCGAGCGAAGCGAGCCAAAACAATTGTCGAATTGAAGATTTTTGAGATTTAATTACACGTAAATAAAAATGAATTTTTCACAATATTTAAATATCATAAGTCAATGTCAGATAATTTATTTTCTTTGTAGTGGAGGACAGATTATTTATTTTCAACATTATTTATTTCCAAAATCTGCCAGCCCCCCCCCCCCCCTCAGAATCAAATGGTCGTCCCCTTAATGATCTTTTTCATTTGTGCTTTCTCCAAGTTATAATTCCCTACTTGTAATATTGTTGAAGGTTGGTCCTCTTAGTCTGAAATATTTGTGTGAAAAGTTGCTTTATTTATTTTTTCACCACAACACATAACACATATAACCCAAATATGGATCAGAGACCTCAACTCATTTTAACATGTATGGCGCAGTAGTTAGAGCGTCTGCTCTAGAGTCGCGAAGTAAGAAGTTTATCCATACATTGTGCGTTCGAATCCCACTATGGGACGTGGCGACCGTTCCTTCAGATGAGACCGTATAAATCGAGATCCTGTGACGCAGTAGGTGCTGGCATGAAAAAAGATCAATCAATGATCAATGACCGTAAAGTGCCGAGTATAGGGCAAAATTTGCAGCTGTACACTGGCAAGTGGTGGGGTTAAAGTCATATGAGTAAAAATTCTCCAGAGGGATCTTATACAACATACAAACAATACCATCAACTCGTAGCAGTACTTTCAGTACTTTGATTTTTTTCAGGTAAAAGCCTACCATGAGAGCCAACCCCTCCGTCGCGGCTCCTTATCTCTAGAGTGAGCGGATATTCAGCTTACCAGTAGTGCTCACCTGGACTTTTCAATTAAATTTATTCAAATGCATTAAAGAACATGATCATCAAATTAATATTAATATAGTTCATCTGTTCCCAGGGTTCACATTGGAACTGTTTCCGTTTTTGTATTTGCAGTTATTATGAGCGCAGCCGTGGCCTTAACCGCCGATAAATCATTATAAAAACTTGAAATATGTGTCAGTTTTCTTCTTATGTTGATTTTGATATTGCACCCTAGTAAGCAAGTTGTCTTTTTATAATAGAGCGATACCACAAATGTATATATACATTCACTTATATTTACATTCGGTGTATCTGTGGGTTTTTTTTATACTAAGCAAACTGTGATATTGATTTGAATACCATTTTCGTGTATACGCACGCGTAGAAATATACAAGGAGGAACTCGCTCTAATGTGAGAACAACAGTGACGTACAAAGACATACTTGTATGGCAGAAATTAATAAAATTTAAATATTGAGTATTTTTAGGTGCTTACAAATATGCAAAATGTTAATTAATATAAGAAATTATTTTAAGTCTAGTGAGCTTCATGAAATATGTCTGTGCGATTACACATAAATTATTCACACAAAACTTTAAAACATTCTTTAATTAAGGTGTTTCCACTCTCACAATTTTAATGATTCAAAGTACAAAAACTGCATTTATTTTCATTTAATATACAGTCGTTTGGCCAGTTCCGGATTTTGGCCAGTTCCGAATAATTAGTAATATAAGGACTGATAATTAATAAATTCAACGGTGTAAAAATAAATTGTTTCTATGGTAAGAAGGCTCATTTATTAGTGTTTGAATTATGCGAAGTTTAGATTTTTTTGCCCTCGGTTTGGTTTCGTTATCGTACTCGAAACAGTCGACATACTTTTACAACGCAACAAACGTGAATCACAACGACGCGTAAGTCTGCAGAAACACCTCTGTAGATTTATAAATTTTTCACATAAAACCACGTTCCAGGTATAAAAAGTAAGTTTGATATGTACTCTAACATATACTAAAAACTTGTGAATAATAAATATTTAGAACACTGGAAGATATCGAAATATTTTTGTCTTCTTATTTTACCAGTTCCGAATACCCATTTTAAACACTATTATAAATTCACTCTTCGTTGTTTTCTTCATTGTAAACCTGATTTATTATACCCCCGCTTGAAAAACAGGAAGAAGGGGGTATATAGTAAAGGGATGTTTGTCCATCCGTCCGTCTTTATGTCCGTCCGTGCGTCTAGCTGTACATCCGTCTGTCTGATATGCTCTAGGGTATCCATTTCTTATCCGCAACCCCTCTTCTACCACTGAATGAAGTTTAATGAAGCTTCACAGAATTTAATGAGTCTTCCACAGAATCTTTGTTTAACAGCGCCAAAGTAAAACTATTTTATTTTTGGATCAGGCACATAATTTGGGCTCCCTGAGAAAAACATAGATACTGCTACTCTTTGTAATATTGAAAGGTAAATCCATCTCTAATCCGCAATTCCTCCTATACCACTGAATAAGATTTAATGATACTTTCACAGATTCTTGATTACATTGTGACATTATGACCTTTTATTTTACTTTTTGATCTGACACTAATTTCGGGTCTCCAAGAGCAAAACATGGAATTTGTCTTAAATAATCATAAAGAAGGTGTGGGGTATCATTAAAATGAACTCAGTGCCCAGAGTACCTCTAGTTTCTCTTCAACCTTTGGAAATACATATGATTTATTGGTAAGCAATTAATTTAACTTTAATTAGGCATGCCAATGGATAACATCTGGGACGTATATTTTTTAATTTAGGGTTGAATTGAATAAGAATCTCTGGGCTATCCGGAACTCGTCGGCTTATTCGTAACTGGTAAAAATGACACCTATGGTAACTTGCGAAATAAATTTGTTTGAAGGCAGGATGAACTTTTATGAAACAATATTTAATTCCACAAGTCATCGAACTACCTTGACAAAACACTTAAATTTTGAAACAATGTCTAGTATATTTATAGCTCAGCCGAATCGGTTTCTTATTCGGAACTGGCCAAACGACTGTAGTTTAAAATTTCCAATTATTGCAAATAATGTTTAGGTCGCCATATTATATAAAATGCGAAACATAAATAAACAGAAGTATATGTCAACATTAAAAAAATCGCACATTTTTTGTAAACAGTATTATGAAATATATATAAAAACTAGTTTAAATGCATAATTCTGATGCTAAATGTTCATAAGCACTTCCAACTTATAAGATACTTTTGAATTGTGAATATCAGGGAAACTATTTTACGTTAGAAGTACAATAAAGCAATTGCCTGAAAGAAGAGACCTTAGAAGGAGTTATTGCCCTTGTCAACATTTTTAAAAGATTGAATAATTGATTAAAGAAAGAAAATATGCATATTTAAAATCTTTTACTTAATATTTATGAATATTTATTATTACACCTATTGTAAAGATATTGTTCTATTAGGTATGAATTTAAACTAATTACAGGTTTTCCAAAAACCTAGACATTATAGGAGGGTAAATGAGGCGCAGAGATAGAGATTTACAGTTCATCTGATAATATTTTAGCGCTTATTATTTATGTACAATTATAATGGATACATTCTATATAAAAGGTACATAATCAAAAAATTTAAAATAAATTACTTTTAAAAGTTTAGTTTTGGTTTCAACAAATTTATGAAATATTGTTCTTTGGCTTTCCGTTATTGTTCATTTTCCTCTTTTACTAAAATTTTTAAAAGGAAATGAATAACAAGAGGCACATTTTAAAACATTTTCCTTTTAAAAGGAAATAAATAACAAGAGGCACATGGACCACATCGCTCACCTGAGTAACTTGGGTGATGCAGTTCTTAACCAGATTTCTCCTCTTGCTATACCTATCGTACCCCACTACCCTCTTCCCTTTTATGATTTTAATACTTTAGAATCTACGCTACCCGGGGATGCTTCGACACAAGTTTCAGCTTTCCTGGCCCAGTGGTTCTTGAGAAGAAGATTCTAAAAAGATTTCTCCTTAATACAGTGTATATCTATGTAAAACTTGGATTC